ATGCAAGGTGCCAACTGCTCAGCAGAACGGAGACTAATCATTCACACACAGATACCACCATTGGGAGCAATTTGGGGTTCATTATTTTGCTCTAGGACACTTCGACATGCAGTGAGAGGAGCCGGGGATCGAACCACCAACCTTCCGATTACTGGACGACCCAGAGATGCTGATGCTATTTTTCCTACTTAAAATACGATTTTGAAGCTACTGAAGTGGAAGATTAGAATTCAAGTGTCCATCCAGAAGTGCATTGTACCAGGTGTTTAGAACAGGTGAAGATGGATTTTAAGGGCTGTAAGAAAACTTAAAAAATATGCAGTAGGCCTATATCTCAGCATTTCGTTCATTTGTGAAGATAAATAAATGAATAAATTGGTATTTTTAAAGTTTAGAATATTCTCCAAGATATAAACTTTTTTTTAATCACACAGCATAAGAGCACAGTGAAGACCTGAACACAAGCAAAATTCACAGAGCTTTCACTCTCTGATAAACAAACCTGCATTAGAAAAGTTCAAACATCCAAAGAGCTACAATAACAATGAGAAGAAAACACTGAATTTCTCAAAAAAGGAGACAATAAAGTCTGTATGATGGAAAAAATATATAATACAGACAGAAATGTATACAAATTTCCCACAAATAAGAGGATAACTCATCTCTCATTAATATTAACAGGAAATAATCTGCTCAAATCGCTCATTTTACACAAACTTCCTGCAGTTACTGTGTTCACTGTTTGGGTTCATTGTTTATAATTCTTTATCTACTGTTATTGTTATGAATTGGATATAATATGAAATATCCATAAAATGTATAACCTAGTCAGGGGTCATCAGTTTCATCTTCTATACTGCAGTTTGTATACTCTAGAGTAGTCTCACCTTCATGATCAAAGTGACAAGTAGCAACGTATGGTCATGGAAGGATCACACTGCTGTCTGTAGAATTTCTATAATATTCCTATCATCTTTCAGTAGGATTTGTGCAGCTGAAAATACAACCCCCAGGTCAATCCCCCTGTTAAAAATCACAGACTGGCTGTTTATATGCTGCATTAATGCTAGAGCAGGAAAAGCTCCGGTCATACCAACTTGGGAGTACTCACACATGAAATAGTTATCCTCAGTGCTAGTATTGTAGTCCCATCCATTTAAATATCCTGCATTAGATATATTATGCTACAAGTCTGTAGAAATGTGTTAACATGCAAACATTGTATAGTTCCCTTTAAAGAAGCTGATTTGTGCTGCTTTGTGGCAGAGGAACATAACCCTGCATTGCATCCAGAACACATTAGTTACATTTTAGAATTCATGAATTCCAGAAACTTGCAAATTGCACTTAATGGACACACTTTTGAAGATGGAGTGGTAGTTAGAAATGGCTGAATGTATGCTCATGAATGAGGTCCGCTGTTTTGAAATGGTTTGTCCGGATAAAGGAGGGACATCAAATCTGTTAGAGACGAGCTGAACGGCATTATGGGCCTGTTAATGGCCATAATGAGGTCCGCCGCTCCCTTTGGACTTAATCCCATTTGCGGCAGTGAAGCGGAGGCCTAAACACATTACAGTGATTGTATTTCCAAGTGGTCCTCAAGGACCGGAGACGAGCTGCCTATTTGATGGTGAGTGCTGAGACAAATTTGAGGACAAAAGATAAGAGAAGCTAAGTGATATCTCACCCTAGCCATTAGATGAATTCCTGTGCCTTGAGACAGTGTTGCTTAAAATGTAGGTCTACTTTAAAATATGGATTCAGATATTCATAGTTATGCTGGTAGAACCTAAAAAATGTATTTTGTGTACCTTAAAGACTTTAATTCACAAGCACCAGAGAGACATAAAGTATGAAAAACATTACTGGGAGAAAATCCATTAAATGGCTGCTAAAGCAACATATATAAAAGAGAAAAGGTACCTTTCATAGGGCTATGGATGCGTTTAAATGCACCCAATAAGGTGTTTATAAAGGCAGCAATAAAAGCGATTTTTTTTCCTTTTGGTTAGAAATTGGGATTTTGTTCTGACAAAAATTGTTTTTTTCCTCTCCTGCACATACCAAATTCCACTGAGGAGATATTAAGGTTTAAAAAGAGCTTTGTGTCATGGCATCAGTCTGAGTCTGTCACACTCAGCTGCAATAGTTGCTCCTTTCTCCCCATCTTCATCTTCATCTTCGCTTTAACACTACACCACATTCACACAGTGATACAAAGCCCATCAAACAGAACTAACTCATTCATACACATTTATCCACCGATGGACCATCAGGAGCAATTTGGGGTTTGGTATCCTGCTCAAGGATACTTCGACATGCGGCGGAAGGAGCCAAGCTTCCGATAACTGGGTGACCTGCTCTACTACCTGCTCCAGGTACAGTATAGACCAAGTATTGAGGTCCTAAAGAAGAAAGGACTTGTTTGTTGTTGAGTCATAATGACAGAACTTGCCTCCTGTTTGCAGGCTCTGTGGGGCCATAATAACAAATATAGAAAATGTTCTACCTCACACCGTCAGAGATATCATAATTACCATCCTCCCAATTAGTGCAAAACATCACATCTTAGCAAAATGCAGAACACTGTTGCTGCCAAATAATGTGAAATATACTGTCCACAAACTGTTTCAAAACAGATATGTACCACTTATGAAAATGTCTTTCTTTGTGTCACAAAGATTATTCCTTGCATGAAAGTAAAACGTATGACAGCATATTATCTTTTTTGTTCTATTGAAACGCATCAAAACCATGCTGTTCTCGAAGAAGTTTTGCTTGCCCTTCGCTGTAGGTTTACAAATAAGTAGCACACTGTACTACATGTGTAGCTGTGTTGGTTTCAAATCCCTTATAATTAAACCAAATTTGAAATGTTAACACAGTTTACTTCCTAATGATAGAGAATCATCAACTATCTGTTATGTACTTAGTGGCTGGTTAACAAAGCCATCATAAAATCTAGGAGGAAATGGGTGTGGCCTATATCATGAGATGCAGCTCAACTCAGGGAAGATGTGGATGTACCCCTCATAAATATGACACCAACAGTAGAGAGGGAAATAACATTTACTCAAATTCCACTTACTAGAGCAGCATGTCACAACTGGAACTGGCTCAGATGACATCAAGTGTGGAAATTTGGTCACATGATTGTAAGTGGAAGAAGGTGTGTGTGTGTGTGTCCTGTCTCTGCAGAACTGAAGAATACTGTGAGATGTGGTTGACACCTCTGGAGAAGGCTAGTAGTTTAAGTGGACCTTTGATTATTATTATAGCATTTACATATCTTAAATCTGAACTAATGTCATTTTAATCACCCTCTTTTCCAGAAGTGAATTTTAAGTTGTGCAATTAAAGATTTTAAATTTGTTTTATTTTACAGAAATGGACATTCAAGAGTTTTTTATTCTAACTGTATTTAAAGAATATTTAAATGTTATAAATTCAAAGGTATTAGAATTTCTCCATTAAATATTTAATAGTGGTTATAAAGTTTGCTGATGATACTGTGATTTTTAGCCTTCTCCACAAGGACATGGACATGGACCACAATGAGGTAGACACCTTCATTAGGTGGTGTGACACTGAACATCTAATTCTTAATGTCACCAAAGCACAGGAGATGGTCCACGACCCGAGGCAAGTGACTGACCATGAAAAAGACAATCATCCAGGGGTCCTCATACATAGAGTCCACATAGAGAACCTTATTTGCTGGAAAACACACATTGATAACCTGTGTAATAGACTGCAACAGACTTTACTTTCTGAGGTGAGTGAAACTGTATGGAGTGAGCAGCCAGATCAGCTGATGTTCTACTGGGCGATCACAGAGAGCACCATCAGATATGGAATTACAGCATGGTTTGGCAACCTAACAGTGTAGCTGAAAAGCAGGTTTGGCACCACGCACAAGATAGCTCTGAGCGTAATAAGGAAGAAAGAACATGAGCCCATACAGAGCCTGTACGAGCAGGTGGTCACGAAACAAGCAACAAAAATCACTGCAGACCCTCAACATCCCCCTTCTCAGAATACCAACCTCCACCATGAGGAGGAAGACAATGTGCATTAAATACAGCAGCACTTTAGCACTTTGATTCCTCTCTTTTTAAGCTGCCATGTTGTCAGTGTTAAGTATTGTGTGTATTGTAAGTGTGACCCTGTCGTGATGTCACCCATTGGTTTGCGGAGTACCGTTTCGAAGCCTCGCATTTGCCGTTATGGTCGTCGCCATGGCGGTTTTCCGGAGCCAGTGGAGGTGACATACTGTGAGTTGAGCTGCTCTCAT